ATTCCCTCCCACGGGAAGATAGTCTGTCCCATCTTTGATGTCCTGCCACAAGCAGACAAAGACCTTTCTTTTCAGACATGCTTTCCTTTAGTGGTCAGCTATCTGGGAGGGTTTTTTTAATGGAGTGTTGTGCCTTTTGCTTTACATCTGTTTTTGGTGTTGATTTTGTTTACCATTTTTAGTATGACATTTGTTTGATTCTTTTAATATCTGTATAATTACTGGTTTTAAATTTTAAATGTTTTTAGTGGTGTAAGCTGCCTTGCGTCCTTTTAAAGGATAAAATCACGATAAAAATATTTTAAATAATTAAATAATTTGAACAGAGTATGCTTGCTTATGTGTTTTATCTGAAGGCATGGGTGTAAAGCCTGTATGTTGGATTTGCAAGGTTGTAGCTCAAAATTGGTCTCATTAAAGGATTTCAGGACAGTCCTTTAATTGTATTATTTACCAGCTTCAGTGTGATTATCTGTCAGTAATTGTACAAATATTTTGAACAGCTAGATGTCAGTGACATTTGGGGAAAAACTAGTGTTTTCGGGACTATTAATTAAAGTTTTGATGGATAGAAGAAAGGTTGCTACTGATCTAAAAATTTGGATTGATCATTAAGGAAGTGTGGGAAAGTACAGAGACTGTAAAACAAAATGTTAAGACTGTAAAACTAGAATGTTAGAAGCCAAATGTCATGTGTCCATTGCTATCCTTATTGAGATCCTCCTTTGCATGTTCAGTGTGACTTTCTCAGTCTGTGAGCCATACTGTAAATTTTTTTGTTTGCTTTAATCTAACTAGGCTTGTTTAATTACTGGATAAATAGGTGGATGATGATTATGATGATTACATGCAACATTTTGATTCTGACATTTATTGACCCCTTCCAGAATTCCCTAGATAGAGATATTCTTACTGTTCCCTTCTTCTTGGGCTGCGCAGCTTGCCCTAGGTGCTACACAGGCTGGCACTTCTCCCAAGAAGTGCCATTGGGAACTGAACCTGTGACCTCTGGCTCAGCAACCAGCCAACAAACTGATGAGTAGAAATATTCTGTGGTTGCCAGCAGGCAACAGATACAACTTTTGAAATGCCTTGGAATGACCTGAAAATGTTTGTACTATGGCTACTGATAACTGCAAAGTAGTTCCTGTTCATCACCACCTGCCAGCAAGTCATCTCAGGTTCCACAGTGGATAGAAATGTAGGAATGGGTGAGAAAACACATGAAAAAGAGCACAAAAACATGTGTGCCACTAGAAAAATCTGCATAGAAATGCTTTATTCCCTCCCCACCCGCCCCTGCAAAAAAACAACAACCCACACTCGCAGATACATATATTTGGAAAAAGTGGGTATGAAGCAGTGTATTATGAAAAATGCATATGAAAGTGGGTATGAAGCAGTGTATTATGAAAAATGCATATGAACATGCACCAGAATATGAAGGGGGGGGGGAGAGACTTGAGCAAAGGCGAGCCTGACAGATTCGCTCATCTCTAGGAAGGTAGAAAGTAAACAGTTGTTAACACACGTTAGCAAGTTAAAAATGCAGCATGGCAATTAGAATGCAGAGAGGTTCTTGTTTGTTTCTTCTGGCCATACAATATTACCAAGTATCACCTTGATCCAGCAAGTCATTTGAGAACCTGTAGAAAGCAGTGATGGATTGTGTGGCCTGTGTGCTACAGAGAGTTGTTGTGTGACTAGTAACCCTAAAACAGGATTCCATTCACTCTCTCACAGAAGGAAACGGAGACAGTGGTGAGGATCCAAAAAGAGTAGGAACTCTTTCAAGGGCAACTCGGACTGTGCTGTTTACCTTTCTTCAGCTACTTAGCTTTTCTGCTATAGCGTTTCCTTCTGACTGAATGACGAAATTGTAGGGGAATTTTGAGAAAACACATCCAAGTAACTTGGTTTGCCACCTCATATATTAATAAATTAGCTTTGGGAATCAGGTGTTTTTAAGTCTCAGACACATTACAGTCCTTTTTACTAGTTCTTTGCATTAGTGAAGGAGCAGTACATTGAAACAAAGCAGTAACTCGGAGAATGAAGACACATGTGCACTGATAGCTCCCCAAAATGGAAGTGTAATGCAGTCATTTATGAAATTCTGCAGTGGTGTTATTCAGTTTATTTTGGGAATAAATGCAATAGCAAAACAAAGAATATACTGCAAAATATTTTTGTACGTGTACTGGCCCTATGGACTCCACGGCATTTGCAGTGCAGAGTGGGATTCATACTGAAAAGGGAAACAAAAATGGAAAATATTGAGTGAACAGTAGGGCCTATTTGATTTGATTATGAAGGATGTTTCTTTATTCTGTCTGTCTTTGTGCAATCTGAAAACAGTAGCAGGGGGTTACAAGCAGAGTTCATCATAGGGATGTCAATCACTGTCATTTAACATTTGCAATGGAAGATGTCTTTATTCAAGGACAGCTGGGCAAATCAGAAGCACAGATTTGCAGTTAGTAGTCTGTCCTGCCTACACTAAACAAACAGGGACAGGGCAGACAGACCAGCCTCTCACATAAAAATATAATGGGCTCTGCTGACCTTAGTGCCCTCCATTCAGCTTCATTCCCAGCTGCATAAAAGCTCCAGTGCCCATTCTCAATTTCCTTTAATTACTTACATGATGCAGATAAGAAAATGAACTTCACTTACAATCATCCATGACACACAGGAAATGAAGTAGGCAAGCTGTTTGAAACAAGAGGAGTATTTTGGAAGTAAATAAAACAGGTTCTGTTGCAGGGGGAGGGTTGAAAGGGGAGAGAAAGTACTGCTGTTTTCTTTTTCTGAAATACCAGCTACGTTGCAGCTACTCAGTTGACCTGACCCTTTCTCCAGCCCCCAGCCTGTCTGCTCCTTGTAGCTGCTTTTATTGGGTAGAAGAAGAAAAATCTTTTTGGTAAATATTCCTTAAAACATCTTTAAAAGGATGTGAGTTAAATAAGAGTGAGGCAAACATGCAGAATTCTATAGGGCTTAAAATGGTGATGACCTTTCAGTTCAGAATATAAATGACCAGTTTTCACAAGAGATCTGGCAGAGGCATCAAAGATTAGTTTGCAGTTGTGTTCAATCGTTCTTATTTAAAAGCTCTCACAGAGACACTGTGCAAACTGCATGAAATTTTTTACTAGCATAAAAGCTGTTTTTACTAAATTGTTCAAAAATTATCATTCTCATAGCTTTTGACAGTAGTGTTGCTAAGATACCTGTTTGATCTATAATTAGAAGGTTCTAAATATAGGCAGAATGAGTGCAGTAAATAAAAGATAAATAAAACCTTTAGCCCTTATTTACAACATCTAGTTGCCAAAATAATTAAAACAGCACACATATATTAACATTTAATTGGTAGAGATTTGTGAAAAACATAGCCAAGTGTGCAGTTCAGGAAAGTGTGCAAAACCTGTCTATATGAATTAATGTGCCCCAATCAAAAAGAACATTCCACTTTGGAAATGCAACATTAAGATTTCCAGAAGTCTCACTTGAACCTGCTGCTTGAAGGTTCACTGTAGTGACAACTATAAATATAAAAAATAAACTTTATATGCTGACATTCACCTGTTACATGAGCAGAGCCACAGAGGCAGTTGGGATGTACATGACCCAATACTGGATGTATCATCATACCCTTGTCTACATAATTTTTTGTTTAGTCGTTAAGTCAAGTCCGACTCTTCGTGACCTGATGGACCAGGCCCTCCTGTCTTCCACTGCCTCTGGAGTTTGGTCAAAGTCTATATCATAGACCTTTGCAATCCAATCAGGGGTTTGTAACTATGTTCTGCTGAACATGCTTCCAGATTCCCTATTTATATCTTCTTCAGTGTACAGAGATCTTTAATGCAACTGGCGTGGAGAGTGATTGTAGGTAGGGTATTTGAGTTTGCAGATTTCCCCATCCCAGTATTATTTGTAATCATAGTGCAGGCAGACGCTTACATACTAGCAACACAACACAGTGTTCCATGAGCATTGCTATGCTTTTGAGTCCTGTTACACTTCAGTAATTTCTGTGGGAAAATAATGGACCTGTGAACACAAAAGGTCCACTTGGCAAGATTTCTTAAGCCAGGAACAGTTCCAGCAGTGATAAGCATAACTAGGTGCTTCTGTCTGAGAAGGTTGCAGAACATAAAGGCTAAACATTGGGACTTCCCAGACAGCAACACAGCCATCAATGAAGCCATGAAAGTAACACTGTAAATTTTTGCCAATATACAAAAATGATCTAGAGAATATGTATCATTTCTTGAAAGTCAAGAATACAAAATTATTTTTAGTGTCATTTGGTAATTTGTTGGTGTTGGTACCTGTTTGGAAGCTGCTTGCCAATAAGTACATAGTTAAGACAATTAAAAGATACAATAATAAGCTTTAGAGAATAATCAGGATTTCTTTTCTATGATAGAAAATCATCAATACACTTTACAAACCTGATAAAGCTATTCGATCAGGCTGGTGTTGTGAAATGTCTATTGTGTTGTTCTATATAAAAGTCTTTTATGAACTACTAAACCTTTTATTGAATTTATGCAGTGAAGAAGAGCAAATAACCCTAATCTCAGTGTACATGCCATATTCAAATAAGAGACTTTCGATGGCATTTAGAGTGGCATTTTATTGTGGCAGTGCCTGAATATGCTATTTTGAATGCCTAGTTTATTGCTAATGAAGAACAGAAAACATATTTTGCGAGAAACTTTGAATGAAGACATAATTTGTCGTGGTTCTCATCTGCCTACGGGAGAAGAGTTTTAGGGACACTAATGGGGCCTTCTGCTCAGTATTTGCTTTATGCTTAATCTCTTGCAGCACATCAAATGCTAACTTGGACAACCCTCTACCCCTAATAAATGTCTTATTGGCTGAGTGCAGTGGCTGTGATGAGGGAAAGGGTGCAAAAAGAAAATCTTCATAAGCAAGCTCTAGCCATTCTGCTTTTTGCAATAAAATGTCTTTTTTCTTTTGAGGATGCTGAAGAGTATGCAGACCTCCCAGTGCGACACAATGAAGATCAAATGAACAGTGAGCTGGCGAAACTCGTCCCCGTTGAAGTGAATCCTCATTCTTTTGACAGTTCACATACAAAAACCCATCTTCTGTTGCAAGCCCACTTTGAACGTGCTGTGCTACCATGTCCCGATTATGTCACTGATACTAAGACGGTGTTGGACCAATCCATTAGAATATGTCAGGTATGTTTTTCATATTCAGTTATCTGGTTTGGCAGTGTACCCTGAAATGTGCCTCAGCTGTTCTGGCAACAATAGCAGCATAGCCCTTTTTTGTATGCTATTTCCTACATTCAATGAGCTCCCAGCTAGAGTGAACCCACTAACTCATGGTAACTAAGTTGCAATTAACTGTTGGATTTATGTCCCACTGATTCACTATAGTTATTTTGCATTTTTTTAAAATAGCAGAGTGACCGTAAAAATGCAATAATGCAACATTGCATATATTGCAACATAGTGCAATATAACATTGCAATAAAACTGTAACAATAAAGAGAATTAGATGATAGTATATTATGATTCAGCCAGTATAAGATTTCAGTAGTTTGGGTTTTGTAACTTACACTTGTAATGTAGTACAGTACAGGCTGCTCTGCCACTTCATTCTGGTTTATGTGTAAACCAGGCCCACACTGGGGATTCAGAAAATGAGAACTCCTTTAAAGAACTAGAGGAAGGTATTAAATTTCTGTTCACTTGATTAAAATTCTTGGACTGGTGACAATTCTGTTGATGTTTGTGTAGAGTTTGCATAATTGCCACAGGTAGATAACGAGATGCTGGTGCAGATCGTGGCTGCACAGTGAGGCTCATGAGCTCACATCTGAGACATGCACAGCAACTTAACAGTTAGCCACAATTATCTGTGACAGTTTTCATAAACCTTATAGAAATACCAGTAGATTTTGGCACATGCATTTAAAACTAAGTAATTGTACATCATAATGTACAACCAGTTCAATACATGTTTCCCAGTTATTGTCTTGGATACCAAAGTAATATTTTTTTAAATGGCTACTATGTTGAAAATAATGCTGAGTTTTCTATTGCTGTTGGAAGAGAACACAAGTTCTGGTCAAAACAGTTGAACATCTGTTTGGTACTAGTTCAATAGAATACTCAAAAATCCATAAACATTAGCTCCAGTTATTTTAGGGTAGCACACTTTTAGGGTAGTGCAAGTGAATCCCATTTTGTCTCAGTTTCTTACATAGCTGTTATTGTGCAGAAGAGCAAAAGAACATTCAACATGGCAATCCTAAAAATCAGGGCAGCCCAAACCAAAATGCATACCTTTGAAACCAAACTTGGCACAGACGTAGCGGACAGCCTGCTCTTGCTCTGTGCCAATTTTAGGAATGTTTCAGCAAAAGGCTTTCGAGTTAGGTGTGTAAAACTGATTTACCCTCCCTCATGCTGAAACAAGTGCTCCTAAATGTCCCCAGGTTTAAAATAGCTCATACAAATTGAAAAGATCAGTCTTGCTTATCTTGAAGGAGAATAGTTGGTCTCACTTGCCTTTTTTTTAAGAATCTAGGCTGCAGGGACTGAAATACTGATCTTCAAAAAAAGGTCTTTTAAAAAGGAAAAACAACCACTTTGTTATAAGTCTGAGAATGTGTGAAACAGGCTTACCAGCAAGAGCAGTTGTACTCACTACCATTCACAAAGTGACACCAAACAAGGGAAAATCCCAGAAGCTGATTCCCTTTTCCATCATTTAACCACTTCCCACCCAAAAACAAAGCAATTGTCAGAGCTGTTTTTCAACAAGTGTGAATGACAATGAGCACAAGAGGGTATCTGCAGACCATCTTGACTTATGTCATCTGTGTCGTCAACTTTCAAGCCACTTTCTGCTATGTAACCCTTGACATCCCCTTTCCTACTGGCAGTATGGACACAATATTGTGCAGCAGTATCGGGCGATTTCCTGGCATTTTGAATCATGGATGCAGAAACACAATATCCCAGATTCATAAACTAGAATTAGAATATATGCAGTCAATTGTTTCTATTTTCCTATACTTCTTTGCTAGCATTGCAGTGATTAGTTCTCATTGTGCTGTTTGAAAGTGCCTACTGAATTTCTATTAACTGAAACTGGTAATTGAAGTAGTAATACCTTCTCAGAGGGCAATCGCTTTTTCAGAGGAATAATCTGACAGTGGCCCGCTTTGCATTTTGATTGGTCATGAGCTGCCACTTGATATGATATTTTAGGATTGCCAAATAGTAAGACTGCCATGGTGCTCAGCTTTAACCTTTAGAGGAGTGTTTACCTATGGATGTGTTAAGCACATCTCAGTAGGGTGTCTGTACATTGAGATGACAAAGGGGCTTCAACTCTTATGATCATATTTCTTACTGCTTACTGTGAAAGAGGTGTTCCTGGCTTGACTTACCAAATGATTTGCACTTCTAACCACCTCCTTTCTGTGGATGTCATACCTCCCATCCTTTCAAATCTGATGACCTACCTTTCTCTGGCTCAGACTTCCTATGAGGCTATTTAGCTTTCTGTGCATTTAAACCTAGAATGAAAAAGTATAATTTCAGTATTTGACTCAGCTTCTTAGACTGTAAAAAGCTTGTTGCTTTAAAACTTACGAATCCAGATTGATATGGTATCTGTCACAGTATACGACCAATGAGGGCAGGGTTCTCTTTTGGTATCTTTAATACAAAAGCAGTATTTTTCAAGTGGCATCTCTGTTGAAATAGACCTAGAAACATTTAGATCAGATATTCACTCAAAGAGAACCCTCCAAATTGTGAAGCACACTTGTCAGTAAAAATAGTTGCGCTGTTCCTTATGACAGAAGGAAATGTGGACTGGTTCTTTCCACACTGCGACTTTTAGGTATTTTGCAGTGCACTTAATGTTCAAGCAAACACGTTTCTTATATAGTGGGATACTTCTGTGTTTGTTTACCTGTAGTTTATAATTTTATTACAGTATATCAAAGATATACATGTATCAGATTTGGAAACAGTCACATTTAGACATCCATTACACAAAATATAATTTTGGGCTAAGCAGTAAGTGGGAGATCATAGCTTCTGTGAAGCACTGCAGCCTTTGTTGTGATTGGGCTATCCACACTCATTTAATAACCCCATGGTCAGCTGCTTCTGCTACTCAGGCTCAACATAAAGGATTGGTGACTATATGGCTTACGGGCTCAGTTAGATAAAATCAGTATGTGTCATCTGTAAATTTCTTTATTAACTATAGAGTCTTTATTTAGAAGTGGCTTCATTCTTGCTACAAGCAATTGCCAAGGAGAGCTCCTAGAGCAAAACCAAATAACACTTTTTAATAACTCTGAGTGGGATCAAAATGGTTGTGTTTCTGAATAAAGCTGCTTCTTGTCTTCTTGTTGAGTGCAATCTACATAGCTTCCCCACTACTGGCACAGTGAGAAAGCTAATTTCTTTAGTGTCATTTTCCTAAAATGTAGGTGTTTCTGTTTCCTCTAACATGAAGATATTAAGATGTTTTTGATTCCTATCAGTTGACACCGATGGGTAGTATTCAAAATACAGAGGGGCTACATGGGAATAAGTTGCTGCAGCTGCTGTTTTAAAGTGTTGTATGGGTGGTTGGTTTGGTGGTTAAAATAAAAGGAGTAAAAGTGGAGCCTTGTTCAACTACCATTGCCACACCTGTTCAGGTATTACCTGTGACACAAGTTCTGTACAGCCAATAGCAAGGTGGTTCGCTATTTCAGTAAAACTTTTCAGGGTTTTGCTCTTCTCCCATAGTATTAAAAAATTCACGAGGGAGAAAAATAAGGTGAAAACCAGACATGTTTTAATCTTCATGAGCACATTTTAATTTACTGTATGTGTTGATTAAATTCCTATAGCATGTCAGTGACATCTGTTAGCATTATTCCTGTCTGACATGCTGTTTCGTGTAAGTTTGGAAATACAGACGCAGTGTACACATGTAAAGTTCATATCAAAACTCTGTGGGCTCCTCTGCTGTTGAAAAAAGCTGCTGAACACTGAGGAATCTTTTAAAAAATTAAGCCCAACCTCTAATAAGAACATGGTGAAAGATGTGGTCGCTCTTGATGGATGCATTATATCTCATCTATAATATAGTTGGTCAAGAGTTGTTTGGTGTGAAAGAACAATCCTTCCGATTCAGTTTTGATTCCTGCAAACCTTAGAAAACTCAGAAATTTTGAAAAGGAAATGTTTCTATCCAAAGGAGGCATAATGTAAGAGGATAATATCATCTACTCAAGTAGGATCTGGGTTTTCACCAAGTTTCTACCATGTTAGAGGTCTGTTAACCCCAAAAGCTACTCCTGTGGATTGATGAAGTCTCTTAGATGGCATGAGATGAAGTTTGGGGAAGTTCATATAAGGTGGAGGGAATTCACACAAATCGGGTATGCCTACAATACTTTTAGCCCATTCAATTCTACCTTCAGATTGAAACAAGGCCATTGGTGTGGCTTATCACTGGCTTCCTTTTTTTAATCATTAGTTGACGTTGTCATCATATTTTCAAATATAAGTAGGATTTTGTGATACCATATGCTCCCCACTCCCCAAAAAAAGTACTTAATAGAGAGAGCAAATGTACTAGGGTTTTCTTCTCTCTACCTCTGTTATAAGAATAATATATGCAAATATGCATGTTATTGCTGTTCTAAAAAGAGTTGTAGGTCTAGTTGCCCAAAGGGAATTGCACGATGTTTGTCTTTAGGGAGAATGTGTTTTGAAAGTATGCAGTCTTACCATATTTGTTCTTCCTAGCACATAAGGTAAGTACTGTGGCCTGGTAGTGTATGTGGTGGCAATCTGATGATACAGTTCTACTTATGTACAGTTTGCCCCCTCCTCCCCCCATGACAAACCTTTTTCTTGTTGCCGCTGGAGGAAATGACTAATGCTTAACCCATTTGTGTGATCAATTCACTTAAGCAGCTACTGTGAAATGTTAATCACAACTTTAATTTGTACTGCATTAGCATTTTGATTAACTTGTAGGCTTGCTAGCACACTTGAAGCACTTTTACTCATAGTTACTGCTCGGAAATGACTTTTTGATTAATTAAGTTTGTTAGATAGCAGCTGAGCTTCCTGAATGCTAACCTTATGGGGCTAAAAGTTCAGGAGAAAGTTATTGTGAACAACTGTTGCTGTTGAAACAAATCCTT